ACAGGGCCCTGCTGTTGCAGTCGTATAATATACGTCCATGGCAGGGGCATAACTAGAAATCACAGGGTCCCATAGAAAAATGTTGTATAGGGCCCTGTGATTTCTAGTTAAGCCCCTGATATCCCACACAGCCCACCTGAGAGTGACCCTGCAGAGCCCACCATAGACTCTCTATGGTGGGCTCTGCAGGGTCATAGGTGGGCTGGTCACACCCCTGCACACCTCTTACCTGTGAGCCCCGATCCACTGTCAGCCTTCTCCACCACCGGGCCTTGCCTTCTCCTGGTCGCCGATGGGCCCCACCTCCTCCTTCATCGGCCTGGCCTCTTCCTCCACCTCCACTGTTGCCGGGCACCGCCTCCTCCTCTGCTGCCGACGCCAGGACCTGGCCTCCTCTACCGCAGCTGCTGGCTGTCACTGACTCAGCAGCGGCTGTGAGGAGGAACGCGCCGCTGCACAGATCACTGACAGGATGTCAGTGACCTGGACAGCGGCACGTTCATCCTCACACCGCCAGTGACAGTCTGCAGCCTGCGACACTATAGCGACCCAGGCGGCCCGCACGCCATCAGGGGGACCCCTTTGTCCTCAGACTCAGGACACAGCCCTTTGGTTTAGTATTCAGGGGACAGTCATGCTGGGACAGAAAGGGCCCTTCCCAAACTGTTATCACAAGGTTGGAAGAGCACAATTGTCTAATGTGTATTCTGTAGCAATAACAGTACTTTTCACTGGCAACACCTGAACTCAATAATTTAGAGGGGTTTCCCCATACTTTTGGCCATATAGGTAGGTGTGATGGCCCTGTATCCACAAACCTTTTGCATAGAGTGTGTCTACAAAGCAGTATGTGGGACTGTCCCCCAAGAGTATAATGTAAAGTAGCGTAACTGCTGGAGTTGGAAAAAGTCCAGCGGAGGGCAACCAAACTAATTAGGGGTATGGAGGACCAGAGCTACGAGACAAGGCTACTAAATTTAAACATGTTCACATTAGAGGTGAGGAGATTAAGGGGGATATGATTTCCATGTTCAATGGTGGTAGCAACATTAGCGATAAACTGTTTAAAATTAACTCCGTTACAAGAACTAGAGGCCACCACCTAAAATTGGTGGAAAAAAAATTCCAGCACAAGGGGCGAAGGGGGTTCTTCACAGTAAGATCAGTTAGGGTCTGGAACTCACTGCCACAGGCGGTGATTTCAGCAAATAATGTGGAATTGTTCAAGAAACTTTTGGACGATTTCTTAAGGGACCGTAATATACAGGGGTACGGGTACTCCTAGAATGAGATCCTAATAGGTTGGACTTGATGGACTAATGTCTTTATTCAACCTCAAATACTATGTAACTATGTAACTATTTAACTCCATGGACCTGTTAAAAGACAAAGCATCTGTCATGGCCTTCATTTGCTCTGCTATTGAACTGAGCCAGTCACCTGTTATATTGCAAGCAATCTGTATGTGATGAAGACCTGCCTACCTGTATAGAGGTCTACTGTCTTATCAGTGTCTGTTCCAGGAGGGACAAACCTATTTTCTACCATAACAAAAGCCCTGTTTCTGAATGTCTGACACTGTGTGGAGGTTTGTTTGAGCCAACCAGCCGCTAGGGTTACATAGATACACAGTTAGGTTGAAAAAAAACACAAGTCCATCGAGAGGTGGTGGTGGAGGCCAGAAGGTGACAGCATATGTGCTCCTCATACGTGTTGCACAGTTTTGAAGCTCAACGGCCCAAAGAAACTTGAATATTACACAAGTTACTTATGGGGACCAAATTTGGCCAGGTGGCACCATGGCATGAGAGAACGTACCATACATAGAGCAACAGTGATGAGCTTCAAACTCACAAAGTTTCTTTGAATAAAATCTCTGTCCATTCTGTGTCTGGCTTTTCATTCATACATACGGCTTTAAAAAAAAAGACGATATATTCTCTTTATAGAGCTCTGGTAATGTCAGTGAAAGTTCTCTTATATATTCCTTCACTATTTATGTGCCTCATAAATCCAAGTCAATATAGCAGATGGTTCTGAGCAGTGGAACAAGTGCGGCAATGAAATACGTGTCCTGCGGCTTCATCGAAGGATGTTCTCGTGACCTCGGAATCCCATGTGAGAAATTATCCTTTCCGCAGGAACGCCCGCTCCCCGTGAATATTTTCCCCTTTCACTGTGTTATGTAATCAGATCCTTCTCAATGCGGTGACCAGGCTTTAAGCCCTTGTCAAGATAATCATTGTTGATAGTACAAAGGAAATGTGTTTATGAACATTGTACAGTTCCACCCTTGTTTGGTGCCGGAATGTGGACAAATAGAAGCCCCGCTGATAGTACAGGCCTGGGGGGGGGGGGGGCGCTCGGAATACATCCAGAAACATTGGCTGCGCATTATACGACTATGATCCTTATCGGACTGCAGATTCCTTATGTTACAGTTACACACAACAGATATAAACTCTTTGCACTAGTATCTTACGCCTAGAACGCCTTCTATGAGGTCAAACATTTGGAAAAAGCGACTTGTTAAAGGCAAACATTCCCAAAAAAGTGAAATACAAAAATTGTTAAGAAGAATCTATGGTCTTTGTAACAAACGTTTTTTGAGCAAACTAATGTGGCGCTCACCCTCGAAGGAGCCGCCGGTTGCCCCCCGGTTCATCTCTAGTCTGTCTAGGGTATGTTCTTCAGCTGCCCACCCATTAGCATTAACCGCCCTTCTTCTATTGCCCACAAACTGATGTCCACTCCAGTAGTAAAATGCTGAATAACGTTTTATTGAACATCTTCACTGGGGAGAGAGGATATGGGGGGTTCTAGGCTTCCAGAGATAACTGACAAGAGCTCCAGACTCACCAGACCTGTTTGGAATAGCAGTTTAGATCCACTTGGGAGGCAGTGGACAGCAACTGATGTAGCAGCTAAGCAGATACAGATCCTCAAACAGGAAAGACAGCGACCATACTTCTGAAGCCCTCTTAGTTCCAGGGCACTTCAAGAGCCAGCATTGGTCCCGGTTCTCTTCCTCTAACCGCAAGACAGACCTCCTCCATGTTGGAGGTCTCAGGGAAGCCTTTCCCTCACACCAACCCATGCCCACCCCCAGGCCTCAGGCCTAGCCAGGGGGGCAGGCTGAACAGGACCCAGCCCTATTCCATGGCTGGTCCCGGCTAGTCTGAGGACTTGGCAAATCCCACCAGTATATGTACCCTATCCCATCATGCACCACTGGCTGAGAGAAACCCAGTGATTGGCTGCTGTACTGTACATACACTACAGTATCTCTTATTGGCTGTCCCACAATATGACAGAGTCACACTCCGCCCAGGGGGGTACAGGCAATGCCAGACACCCGGAATTAACCAGATAACTGCCACTATAAATCCAGCCAGGCTGACAACAGCCCTGGCCATCACTAAAGGTCTAGTAACCACATCACAGAAGGTGATGGGGGCTACACTAACTTTCAGAAAAATAGTGAGCCAGGTTCAGGGCCAGGCCAGGTTCAGGGTGTCCACCTTGCCCAAACAAGGAAGAGGGAGAAGGACTAGTCACCGATATCACCTGTAGGCTCCCGTAAGCTGATCTTTTCTCCATTACTGACTTACCATGCCTTGTCCGCACTGTATCTCTGGCTGGTGATCTGATGACCGGTGGGGTAATGATAAAGAAGTAGCAGGAGACGTGCAGGAAGCACAGATACACAAATTGAAAGGATCAGAAGCAGGGAGATTCTGCAATGCAGGTCCTCAGGTACAGCTTCCTCTCCAGCAAGGATAACAACTAGCATAGTGGTGACATCATCAAATCTTGCTTTAAATGTCATGAGATTAGCAGTCAGAGGCAGCAGTGCTTTAGATTATCTCACAATGCAGATATACAGCTATGAGGATACAGCTTAGGGGTGGCCTATAGGAAGTGTATTGTTTAGGAGGAATGCACGAAAAAAATCTAATTTTTCAGGGTATGTCTTGAGCAAAATTAACATTTCTAGATGATGCCTATAAGATAGCAAATCCTAATTCACTTTCACTTTGCCTACATGACACAATGCTCTAAGGTTCGCTCTACTTTTCTCCTTTTTGGGTGCTAGGGGGGAGGATCTACCTGCATTAATCTCATGATCAGTCTCAGCAAGAGCAAAATGGGAGTAATTGCTGGGAAAAGCAATGAACCAATTACATGAGGTTTCTGGGGGTTCTCTGTACACATTAATGGTCTCCCGTGTTACCTTGGTGACAATGAAGTGAATCCTGTGGCTTGTGGAGTAACTTTGTATGAAGTATCACTTTTTTTGGGAGTAGGATAAGATTACATTTAGGGTCATATCCAAGAGATGAATTGTTCTTGCTGTAATAATTTTACTCTTATGGGGCTTTTCATTAGGTTTCTTGGAGCTCAAACTGCTTGGTGCCAATTTGACTGCCCCCAAGCTACTGCACTTGAGTAAAATGGCAAGAAATAACTGGGGTTGTTCTGTTCTAGCTTCTCATAGACATTGTATGTTACCTCACCCTCACAATTTCAACAAAATCAGGTGATTATCTGAATGTCTTTGGATGACCGCCCCATCGGGGGTTCTTGAGCAGAAGTTTGCCCAGTTTGGATTTTTCTGGCAATGGCCCATTGGCTTCCTACCAGTATCTGCAATGGTGATGACCACAAACACGCACAGTCTCACAAGAAGAGAGTGTTTGTCTATGTTCTAATATGTGCAATTATAAAAGAGACTGCTAAGGGGTCAGTTTTTCCATGCACATCCAAACACAGCACAATGTCAACTTTATGTTTCAGCCAGCTGCTCCACCCTGCCTAAAATTCTGGCCATTGACAAAGGTCTTCTTGCCATTCTTCCTGCACAACACAAGACGGCAGAACAAAATGCTCCCTTTTTAAACAAACCAAAAGCCGTTATTGACTTGGTGGGTCTTGGAAAATTTCTGGTGGTTGCCATACAAATGTTCAAAGTAATATCTTACGGCGTGTTTCTTTTACAGGTGAACGAGGACCAAAAGGAGAGAAAGGTGACAAAGGTGACAGAGGAGAACTAGGTAAGAGAATTTAAGCTTGCCCTTAATAAGATGAAATGACTTGTTCTCTGGAGTGCACGTTGGGTATGGAGCTATAGATTATTTTGTTCTGACTTGTACAGGCAGTTCCCGGGTTGCGAACAAGATAGGAACTGTAGGTTTGTTCTTAAGTTTAATTTGTATGTAAGTTGGAACAGGTAAAGTTTTTAAGTGTAACTCCAGCCAAAATGTTTTCTGTTTTGTTTTAAATAGCATAGGGAAGGGTTTAACCCCCTATAAAGTTTGTTTTGCTGTGTGTGCCCCTGTTGAGAAGATTTCACCTCACTTTCTGTCCCTGTGGCAATTGGATTTTGAACATTTTGAGTTGTCGTGGAAACAAGGATTGGTGATAAAGCTTCAGTGGAGACACCTTTTTCCCCATGATAGCTCTTACAGGAGTGAATTTCCCTTCCTAGGGGTAGATCTCCTCTCACTTCCTGTTGTCTCAAGGACAGGAAGTGAGATTAAATCTTTCGAATGAGGATACAGACAGCAGTAAAAACCTCACAGTGACCCCGGAGAAGAGGTCGCACCCCCTCGTCTGCACATCTAACAAGAGCCAACTTCTTGTAATGTACGTACAGTACTACAAACCAGACCCAAAAAGGCGGCTACTCCTCGTCAGCACGAGCGCGGTAGCATTACATCTACACCTGCTGTACAGTAATAGCCTCCGTTTGTAAGTAGGAGTCGGATGTAAGTCGGATGTATGTAACTCGGGGACTGCCTGTATAGCACTTTCATATGTTATCCTTCCCGAACTGCCAGTATTGAAGTAATAGGTGGTGTCACAGGTCAGCATGAACATTGTATTGTCAGTGGAAGGCACGGGCTATCACGGTACAACAGTCTTTACAAGGTACTCCTTAAAGAGAACCTGCACTTTACCTTGAGTGGTTGAAAAATTCTGGACAGATTCTGGCTTGGGTTTTAGAGTTGTGTATATGTCTGGGTAATATGAAAAAAAATAAAAACCATATAGAGTACATCTCTGCAATGCATGCACATTTCCCCATATCATATCCTCTTAAAAATGCTGCAAGACCAAGAAAAATACCAGTCAGTGCACCAGAAATCCAGTGAGATCCTAACTTTCTCTTTTGGCTAACAACACAATGGGGGGAATTTATCAAAACTGGACCAGACAAACAACCCACAAAGTTTGTGCGTTCGGCGAACACACGAACTAGCGATGTTTGAGTCAAACTCATGTATGTCATGTATGTATGAGTTCGAGTCGAACTCATGTATGTATGTCATGTTCGAGTCGAACTCATCGATGTCACCCCTCGTGATGACATCACATGGAGATAAAAAAAAAGTGGTTTCTTGCCACAGGAACAAGTCAAAATAATGAAAGCTGTGGCATGATCTAAAGGGGGACAGGGAGGTTTGCGGGTCAAACTTTAATAACGCCTGAACATACGGTACATGTTAAGTTGAACCGGCTCGCTGGCTGATTATAATAATTATAACGATGGATATATGCAAGCGACAATTATATTTTTTATACCACCAGATGTACAATGTGGACCCCTGTGGGCCAACCTAAAACTGTAATGGGCAATCTGGACATTTATATCAGTAGGCCACATACTGCAGTATATTGGCTCATCATTTGCAGGAGGACGGTATAGGCAACGTTGTCTTTTTAACTGGTGACAGCTGGACATTTTATCACAGCTGACATGATGGTACTTACCTTTTTATTGCCATAATAATAATAATAATAATAATAACAGGTATGTTTTTGGTACTGCATGAGATACATGTACAGTATGTTCTTTCTTCTATTTTACTTCCCCCATCAGGTTTAAAAACCTCTGTAAACAATCAGCGATGATTACCTTTTCATTCTGAAATTAAATAGAGTGAGTGTAAACGTTGAATCAGGTTGAGATCCTTGTTCAGTCCCTGTTGGCCTCCTCTTCCATTGCCGGGCCCTGTCTCCCCTTCCATCGGGGGCCCCTCCTCCTCTGACGTCACCGGCTCTGCCTCCTCTTCCATCGCCGGGTCCCGCTTCCTCCTCTGCTGCTGACACCGGGCCCAGCATCCTCCGCCGCAGCTGCTGGCTGTCACTGACACAGCGACGGCTGTGAGGAGGAACGCGCCGCTGCAAAGATCACTGACAGGTTGTCAGTGTTCTAACAGCGACACGTTCCTCCTCACAGCCGCCAGTGACAGCCAGCAGCCTGAGATGCCATAGCGACCCAGGCGGCCTGCACGGCATCAGGGGAGTGTCCTGGCCGGGACCTCCTGGGCCCTCGAGCGGCCACCTGGGTCGCTATGCGATTGTTACGCCACTGTGTCTACTAGTGTCTGTGTCCTCAAATGATGTAGGGTCTGGTTGGGGAGACCACAGAGTGCAGAGAGGGGGGGGGGGGGTTGGGGGGCGCCACCATCTGACATTACTGAAAGCCTTGGGTGCAGAAAATTGTTGAGGAAGCTTCCTTCTGAAGCCCAGGGGAGGTAGGTGGGTGGTTCGGGAATGTAAGCGGTAGATTTCTTTCTTTGCACAGAGGAGCGCTTTTTAACATAAAAACAAAACGGCGAATGGAGTCCCTTTAACCAAAACATTCTTAAAGTGTGATTTTAAATAGAAAGAATTTGCCCAGAACACATTCTTCTTTAACAAGTACAATGTTTAAGATGAGACACCTGGACCTTCAGCCATTACGGCGGCATTACCCTCCTCCTGTGTAACATGTGTCAGGGAAGTATGGAGCGAAACGCGTGCATAGCTGCGGCCTAAGTCATGTAATCAGATCAGGGAACTGCCGAGAGGTCGCCTCCCGTGTGGACGCCTTTGGCTGGCTCCTATTCCGCTCTCCTCTCTCTTCTAGGTAAACAGAACCTCATTGTTGTCAGTGCGGAGAGCCCCTTCTGGGACAGAAACAGACGCTTGACTTTCTCACAAAGAAAACAGCTCCGAAGCTCGTGCATCTGTTTAATCCCTAAGAATGTCTCATTTGTGAGCAATTTCCTGGTGCTTTCATAGGGCGGCCATGCTGGGAGAGGCCTTCCTACTCCCATTCCAGCTATTGTAAGAATGAAAGGATTGCCAGCTATGTCCTCTCTCTACCTGATGGCAGTACGTGGCCCTTCTCTGTGTCATAATGGCACCCAGCTGGGCCAGGTGAGAATAGGGTTCGTGTCAGGGCCCCCGTCTGACATTGTGAACAGAACTGTAAAATAATTAGGATTTGAATTATTTCCTATTGCCTGCTTTGCCTGTATAGGCTTTTCAAGTGTCTTGGGTGCCCAGTTGGCATTCTGACATGGCATCCCCCCGCATGGCAATGAGCATCTATTGGGCACAATGGATACTTTAAAGGCCTAAAACCATAATGAGATAGGAAAGGTCAATACATATTACAAAGTTAGTTAAAGTTGCTTTGTTAACCTCCATCTAACTGGGTCATAACCCTCTCCCATGCTCCTTGCCCCTCCCCCTTTACACTGTGTTGTAGGAACACTTCATAAGATGTGCCTTACTGCAATGCATGGCACAGTAAGGGGGGGTCTATATAGTAAAAATCAATGTATAATTATCGGTCCAGCGAAGCTGTACATTCATCCTTTGCAAATTAAGCTGCTGTGAAATTGGAGCAAAATTAGAATGTTCTTGGGGTATTTTTTTCTTCTGGTCGAATGCTCTTTAATTATTATGGGCAATAGTAAAAATAGTTCATTCATAAAGAACAGAGTGAATGAGGAAAATGCCTCATTATGGCCACTAGATGGGGCTGAGGATCATGGGAAATAAATACATGTTAGTAATCGGGATGCACCGATACTAGTATCGGTATCGGTACTGATAACGAGTATTTGGGTGAATACTCAGTATCGGCACCAATACCAATATGTTGGGGTTAGCTACCTAGGCCCCAACTCTTACTCGCCTGAATGCTCCGATGCTTATCCCAATACCGGAACTTCCAGTCAGAGGAAGATTTGCTCTGACCAGCAATGCCTCAAGGGAACATGAAGCCGGCTTCCCAGCCAATCAGGAAGCCAGGCTTCAAAGCCAATCAGCATCGAGCTGACTAAGCAGCATGGAGCTGCTTAGTCAGCTCGATGCTGATTGAGTTCCCGCCCAATCAGGAAGCTGGGCTGTGGGTAATGACCCGCCTCCCAGCTTCCTGGTTGGCCAAGAAGCCGGCTTCACAGTGAATCACCATGGAGCTGGCCATACAGCATGGAGTCGGCTTCCCGGCCAATCAGCATCGAGCCGGCTGTTTGGCTGGCTCCATGCTGATTGGCTGGGAAGCTGGTTTTCCAGCCAATCAGCATGGAACCAGCCAAACAGCATGGAGCTGGCTTCCTGGGCAATCAAGAAGCCGGGCAGCAGGTAATGACACACCACCCCGCTTCCTGACTGCCAGAGGAACCGGCTTCATGGTAACAGAAGTACCGGTACCGGTACTCGGTATCGGCGAGTACCGAAATATAAATATCGGTACTCGTGCTCGATAACGAAAAACTGGTTTTGGTGCATCCCTAGTTATCAACAAGATAGAGTAGCAAAAAAAAAAAGTAACTAATGAGGGGATCTTCGATTTTGCCCCATTCCCACAACAGCCGGTTAATTCGCGCACAACGAATGTACCTGCAGTGTCGCTGGCTGAAGAACTACGCACATTTGTTTTATAAATAAACCTCTAAATGCCAACATTGTGTGCTGGGGTTAGCCACCTAGGCCCCAATCAGACTTGACCTAAACGTCTTTGGGCACATACAGAAAAATACCTGTTGGTCTGCCAGAATTGCACTTGGCTCCTAATTTCCTGGTTGGTCTGACAACACATGGCTAACTACAGATTACCTCCACCTCTCCTCAGGTCCACAACATAGAGAGCAATTGTTCTGTAGTCCAGGGTGAGAACTGGGAGGGCTGATTAGACTCCTTGGGATAACACAGATCTGTGTTCCTGACCCAATTAATGAGGGTTTTTTTTGCACTTATAGAGGGCATAGATAAG